CACTGACTCCGACACATTTATCCCCATTAAATTACTGTGTCAATCCATCGTATCCAGGTCTTCCTCTCCTGAGGTGTCCCTCCACCCTTCCAAGCATGATGCCCTTTTCCAAGGACAGGTCTCTTCTGGCAAAAGATGTCTATACCCCATTCTTTTTAATGACTGCACAGAGGGTTGGCATAGAAAGGAAGACGTTCAACAAGATGGACTGATGCAGGGACTACCACAATGGGCTTGTGCAAGACAGACATTGTATAGACTGTGCAGGATAGGCAAGGCTCAGATTTGTTGTTCATAGGATGGCTATGAGCCATAACCGACTGGATGGTGCCCAAAAAACAACAGCATAACACACTTTATCAGTGTAAGGCTGTGCTGTAGTGCACTTAAGCAGCCTTGCTATGGTGAATGAGCAAGTTGTATTCCACTTTAACCAAAACCATTTGCTGTGGAGTTCATTCCAACTCTGGGCAACCTCCTATGTCGCAGCTAGAACTCGCACTACCACAATACATTCCACTTTAGCTGTTTATAAAATACCTAAGTACACCTTCTTCATAGGTCATTGTGCACTCGCGCAGCACCCTTGTGGGAGAATATTCTGAAAGAAAATGTGTTGAGTTAAAGCATGTATATTTCAAATTACCAAAATTCTGTCAACTTACCACTCAGAAAATTATACCAAGGGAGCTCTAGTGGTCTAGTGGTAAGAAGCTGTGTTACAATCCTAAAGGCAAATGGTTCAAATCCACCAGCCGCTCTGTGGGAGAAGGATAGGTAATTTCCTTCCGTGTGATTTACGGCCTCTGAAAATCCACTGGAGGGTCACTTATGGGTTGGTTCTGATACAGCAGCACACACTGCCACCAACACACTGCCTAGGGTGTTTCTGGTGGCCTACTGGTACGAAGTTGTGTTGTCAACTGAAAAGCAGGTGGTTTGAATCCACCAACTGCTCCATGGGATAAAGGTGGGTAACCGCCTCCTATGTGATTTACTGCCTCTGGAGGGTCAGCTATGAGTCAGTTCAGATGTGACAGCACATGACAACAGCAATGAAATTGCACTGATAACAGCGACACCCCTCTAGTGCTTCAAATGAACAGCAGATTTTCACAAGAAAGATGGACAGTTTTTCATCAGAAACCCAATAGTAAGTAGGTCAGGGACGACTTGGCTCCAACATGATGGCAGTGAGGGAGAGAGAGACCCTGATTGGTACTTGAGACAGTTTAGCCAAGTTGCTTTGGAGAGTTCCCTTACACATAAAGAACCTCTTGGGAGCATTCCTCCTTTGTTTCTGCATTTACTGAACAGAAAGGATATTTCTATACCTTTATCAGGATGGCCAGGCAGATCCATGTACCCTAGAGGCCAGGTGTGGTGATAATAGCTGTAGGCTGCAGTACAACCATAGAGATCTGAGCAAACCAGAGTGTGGCTCCCCAGAGCAACCAAGATACTACCCATTGTGGATGGCACCTCTGTGCTGTGTGAACCACCACCTTCCGTTTGAAACAAAACTTGTTCTAGATGTTTTAGGCTAATACGGAATTCTTCAAGATGATTTGCCTCCTCCCTCAAAGTAGTTTGTTTTTTGTTTGTTTATGGTGTTTGCTGTTATAGTTGTTGTTAGGTACTGTTTATTTGATTCCAACTCATAGTGACCCTATGTGCAACGTAACAGTGCATTGTCTGTTCCTGGGCCAACACAATCATTGCTATGTTTGAGCCCATTATTGTACCCATGTTGTCAATCCATCTCACTGAGGGTTTTACTCCTTTGGTTGATTCTACTTTTCCAATCATGAAGTCTTTCTCCAGTGACTGCTCCCTTCTCATAAGATGAACCTCAATACCCTCATTTGTAGTGTACCCCCATTCTGGTTGTACTTATTCCAAGGCATATTTGTTCCTTGTTCTTGCAGTTCAGGGTGTAGTCAAAACTGTTCACTAATACCATCATTCAAAGACATAAATTCCTTTTCAGTCTTCTTTATTCATTATCCAGCTTCTGCATACATAGGAAGAAATTGAAAATACTATGGCTTGAGTCAGGCCCACCTTAGTTCTCGAAGTGACAGCTTTGCTCTAAAACACTTACATTTTTTAGATTTTATTTATTTATTTCTGCTTTTGAACACTTTAAAGAAGTCTTTGGCAGAAGATTTTCCAAGTGCAATGCACCTTTTGATTTCTTGCCTTGCTGCATTTAAGAATGTTTGATACTAAGCTCTGTTTTCAATTATGCTTTCTCCATGAGCCATTCCGTTTTAGCTGAAACTAATTGGGTTACTCACTCCCTTAGCTCCAATAGTTGTGTTATTAAGTTGATAATGAGTAACTACTCCAAAGGTTTCTGTAATAGCAGCATCAGCTTATCTAGGTGAATCTGAAATTATAACCTTTCAGCTCACAGGAGCACTTCGGAGCTGTTCAACCCATTATGACACATATAGGAAAGGTAACCAGCATCAGTTTGTCCCAACTCTTTGGTGGTATGAAGATTTGTACCAGGTAACCTGAGGGAATTCAGGTTCACTCCAGATGTACCACTTCATCCCCCACCTTTACTCTCTTCTGTCATCGTGTTTTTGCCCTGTCACTTTTTACATTTTTTTTCTTTTCGTTTTAATCATTTAGTTACCAAAGGAAGGGGATCAATTGATTTATCTTTAATGTGCAAAAGATTTCTGAGCAACTTGATGGGCTACTTTATTTCCTTTCTCAATAAGATCAGTGCAGCTGCTACAATTAATTTTATTTTATGCCGTTTTCATCCATCTATCAGGTGGGTTGCTATGACGCCGTAATAGATCCTTGCTAAATTTGCACTCTTTGCCCTTAGTCATGTAGCCTGTGGTGTTAAATCCTTTTGCTAGTATTCTATCTCTATTCCTCTGGTGATTCTGACTAGAAAGAATCCTTCATTAGCATTGTGTGCTTTGCACAATTACAATGCCAGTCATATTTTGTCAAGAGGTCAGGAGATAATAAACAAGTAGCTAAAGGACTTTGGGGTTGACTGCTTCAATTATCAAAACCTCCCAACAAAAAAAGGTTCCAGCCTATGAGAAGAAAGGATACATGATGATCCTAGATTTGCTATGGAGCTCTTTTGTCATTATCAATAGAGTCAAATTCAGGAACGAGCTCTGATTTCTGTTAACGCATTTAACTCATGAAGTGCTGTATATCAAAGAGGGTGGTTTTCAATTGCTACTGAAATATTTTCCAACGCATTGCACTGGGAATATCTGCAGTTAGGGACCTTTCCAAATTATTGAGGAGTGATGATGCCAGTTTGAGGACTAAGGCACGTTTAATTCAAGCCATCGTCTTTTCGACTTGTTATGCATCTGAGAGCTGGACGATGAATAAGGATGCCAGAAGAAGAATTTGTACCTTTGAGCTGTGATGTTGGAGAAGAACACTGAATATCCCATGGACAGCCAAGAAAATGAACAGATATATCTTGGAGAGGGTGCAGCCAGAGTGCTTTTTGGAGGTAAGAATGATGAGACTTTGCTTCACATACTGTGAGTATATTGCTAGGAGGGACTATTTCTTGGAGAAGGACATGATGCTGGGAAAGGTGGAGGGTCAGCAAAGGAGAGGAAGACCCTCAGCCATGTGCATTGATATCGTAACTGTTGTAATGGGCTATCATGTGTCAGGAAGTGTGAGAATGGTGCAGGATAGAACAGGGTTCAGAGCTTTTGTTCATAGGGTCGCTATGAGTCGTACTCAACTTGATGGCACTCAACAACAACAACAACAACGACTCCTTTAACTCAGGCAACCCTATATAAAATGGAATGAATCACTGTACCATCTTTACAATTGTTGGTATGTTCAAGTTCATTGTTGTGTGGCCATTGTGTAAATGTAACCTAGAGGGCTTATTTTCTAGCATTAAAGTATTAATAGCATTAATAGTATTCTATTTTGATCTATATGGTTTCCATTGGTTGATTTTTGGAAGTAGATTTCTAGACCTTTCTTCATTAGTCTGCTTTAGTTCAGAAGGTCTGTTGCAACCTTCCCACCATCAGTGGCCTTAAAGATACTAGTGGCGTAACTTCCAGCAGCACAGCTACCTATAAGCCACCACAGTACAACAGACTGATAGCCAAGTTGTGGTATATTGAAAAAGTTCCTTTGACATGGAGGAATTGACTTTACGCCCTATCGGTGTTGGAGGAAGTGCAATCAGAGTGCTCCTTAGAGATAAGGGTAGTGAAACTTTGTCTCACATATTTTGGGCATGTTGTCAGGAGGGGCTAGTCCTTGGAAAAGAATATCATGATGGAAAAGGTGGAGGGTCAGAGAAAGAGACAAAGGCCTCCAATCCAATAAGATGGATTGACACTGTGACTAACAATGGACTTGAGTGTGTCAGAGACGGTGAGGATGAAGCAGGTCAGGTTCAGCTCTGCTTCTCATAGGGTCACTGTGAGCGATGGTTGACTCAATGGCACCTACCAACAACAATAACAACGTACTTAATTGACTTCCTCTCCCTGTGCTAACAGCAAAGAGTCAGCAGTTGAAACAGTGCTATAGGTTCTCCTTTCTCCTTTCTCTTTTCTCTGGCTATGAGTATAGTGGGTTAGAAGTATTGAAATTGAGGTCATACAAATAAAATGTCAAGTCGTGACTTTGTCACTTAATCCTTCTGTCATATAGAACCCTTTGAACAGCTGTTTTTGTGTCTTTATAGAATGGAGATCATAATCTTTCCAACACTATATGCTTTATTAAGCATTAAATCTGGTAGTGTATGTAATAAAGTGACTGGATAGGTACTAAATGTTATTATAATATAGTTTCTCAAGTTTGTACTTTGAAAACTATGGCTCCAGTTGGAGTGAATGGTCATAGGCTTTGAAAGAACATATTTTGAGAGGGAATGATAATGTATGAATATTATATTTTCTAGTTTCATCTGGTTTTGAAGGGGAATTTTGGAATAATGAATAATTAAAAAGTTTACTTACCCAATTCACAGTTCTTTCCCTCAAATCCAGGTTGACACCAACATTCATAGGAATTAATGCCATCCTTACACATGCCACCATGCAAACATGGGTTGGAATCACACTGGTCTCCATCTTTAAGATACACGAAGATTAAAGATTAATTAGCAGACAAAAGGTTTGGAATGCCCAGACCTCCCTGTGCAGACACATGGATATAGGGTCAGAGCAGAACTCCTGACCCAGAAGTCATGCTACAGTCATGTCCTGCTCCTGTCATTTTGGATTTCTAAATTCAAATAAGCAAAAGTTCTCCAATCAAACCCACCTGAGGGAATTGTCCTGAAGAAGAGCTGTTCATAGCCTATACAACAACCCAAGGAAGAAGGAGATGGAAGTGAATTCCTGGGTATAAAAATGTGCTATTTCAGTGTAGGTTGAAAAGGAAATACAACCCTTTCATATAGAATGTTGTTGTTGTTAAGTGCAGTTGAGTTGTAGATGACTCATAGAAACCAAAAGAATGAAAGTACTGAACACTTGTATAACTTTCATCATTTCTCCATGTTCATAGAGTTCCTGGAGGCAAGCTATTTCAGAAGTGGATGCCACTCTGGCTTCCAAGCTTGTTTTAATTGGGGAGCTCCACCACACACTGTCCACCATGGGTAACCATTATTGTATTTGACACATCAGTGTCACAGTGTTCAGCATCACAGCTACCATGTACAGCAACCTCTGTACAGCAAATGGACAGACCAGTGCAATACCACTTAGAAGAATGTTTGATCAAAAACAATGAGGAATTAATTTGAAACCACATCAAATATTAAAATAAATTATTAGCTATCTACCAAATAATATCTGCTCTGTTACAAGCCCTGTAGAGTAAGCTGTTGTAGAATATCGCACTTGGTGCTTCTTAAGGAATTTATCACCAGGTTGCAGAGTAAGAGAGTGTATTTCCCTGTATTGTCATTTAACTTTTTCAATATGAAGTCAAGAATTAACATGATAGTAAAGGTGCCAGTAACATTTATTGTTACAGTGCGTTAGTCTGCTGTATAGAAGTTAGGTTTCAATTGGTTCATGTAAAGGGAGTCCTGGTGGTGTATTGTAGTACATTACATATTGCACTTCCAGCCAAAATGTCAAAAGTTCAAACCCACCATCTAACTGCTCTGTAGGAGAAAGATAGGTAATCTCTTCTAATCATAGACCTGATGGAGGGCCAGTATGAGTTGGAACTGACTCAAAGGTATTAAGTTTGGTTTTTGATATAGGTAAAGTGAAGATCAATTCCAATATACCCTAAAGTATTAACATGTAAGTGACCTCTGTAAAAAAATGCATATTCGGTGCCCATGTCTCTGTTCTACCTTTCATGAACTTTCTACATTTACAGAGTTCTTGGAGACCTTTGAAGACACTATTGTTAAGAAAAAAGGAGGAAGCAACAGTGAAGAGGAAAGGTCAGGATGAGAAGTGGACTTTACGTTTTCTTTCTCTCTCTCTCTTTGGAATTTTGTTTCAATCCATACTTCCAAGGAAGCTTCTGAAGAAAAGGCTGAACAGAACTAGAAGGGAGACTGAAACATACTTAGAGCTAAAAACAAAGTTGTTGAGCATTATTGAGTCAGAACCAACCCCTAGCTGAAACCTCAGCAGGTTTTCAGAGGCAATAAATTACATGGGAGGAGATTTCCCCATCTTTCCCCCCACAGAACAGCTGGTGGATTCAAACTGATTACCCCAAATTTAAAGAAAAGGGGGGAGCTACATCTATAAGAGTCAACATACAAGAAACAACATAATAAGATGACAAAAATAATAAAAAGTGAGATTAAAAAAAAGAAAGAGAAAAAAAATACTTTGGCTATGTTGTTAGGAGAGACCAGTCCTTGGAAAAAGACAGCATGCTTGGAAAGGTGGAGGGTCAGTGAAGGAGCAGAAGACCCTCAAATATAGATTGACACAGTGACTATAATGGTGGGCTTGAGTTTTCCAGAGATGGTGAGGATGGCACAAGACAGGGCAGGGTTCAAATCCATTCTTCATAGGATTGCTGTGAGTCATAGTCAGCACTTCCCAACAACAGTCAACTCTCTGTCTTGAAGGAAGTGCAACTAGAATTTCCCTTAGAAACAAGGCTAGTGACATTTCATCTTCCATTGGACAAGTTGTAAGAAGATGCTAGTCCTTGAAATAAAGACCTCATGCTTGGAAAAGTACAGGGTCAGTGAGAACGAAGAAGACCCTCCATGAGTTGCACTGACACAGTGAGTGCAACAAAAGGCTTGAGTGTACTGGAGGTCATGAGGTTAGGGCAAGATTCAGATCTGTCATTCATAGTCACCATAAGCCATAGTCAACTCAACGGCACCTGTCAACAGAAGTCAACATCCACAGTGAAGCTGATCAACATCTAGTGCGTGTCAAAGCTTGTTGCCTCACTATCTTCTGTCAGAAGCATGTCTCTCTGTTCCATGGACTTAGGAACTAATATCCCTTTCTCAGAAATAGTCCCTCTCTGGAGAATCTACTTGCTGTAAAAATTAGACCTTGTCCCCTATGCCCCTTGATCCAATGTGCTTTTTGCAAAAATACTGCAATTTGTTCCAAGTGCATGAAACCCAGATACGTTGTCTCTGGTTTATTATTGTTGATGTTCGGAACAGGTCTAAAAAAATGAGCTACATTTGCACTTTATATTATAGACCAACGAATCTGAATTATTTAGGATGTTTCACTGAAAGGGTCTGGGCTTGCAGCCAGCTACAAAGCAACTCATTTGCTGAGACACATCTTTAAAATGAGTGTCATTTTATAGTGTGTTTAGTTCTTCCTTTGGGTGGTTGTCTTTGTGTACTTTGGGCCCAGACAAAGCCATAGACAGCAGCAGGGTCAAAGACAACAAAAGATAAGACCTGGTCTAACGAGATATTCCTGTTTAAGGTTGTTGCTTAATTAATAACTGCATCTGAAGACAATAGAGAACTTGGGTTTGGTTCTGGGATTCATGACTCTCCAACTGGATGACCTTTGGCAAAGTGGCTTAGTGGTTAGGAAGTTGTGCTTCTGACCCAAGGGCAGATATTCAAATCCACTAGCTGCTCCAGGAGAGAAAGATGGGCGATTACCTCTTATGTAATTTAGTCTTTGAAAACTCATTGCGAGATCAGTCGTGAATGAGTCACTTCCAACTCAATGACAATAAAAGAATGAGTTTGAGTGTAACTGTCCTCAACTCTCAGTTTATTTCTCTATAAAATCGAGACGGTAACAGAGTTGGTGTGAGGATTAAATGTAACCGCCCCTTCGCAAACAGTAAAATGCTGGGTGGGGGGAACAAACTCACTGTTATCATGTGTGTTTTGATTCATAGTGGCTGCTCGTTGGGTTTCTGAGGCTGTAAGTAGTAATAGGAGAAATTGTCCATAATTCCTCTTGGGGCCATTGGTGAGTTTAAAGAGTTGGAACAACTCACTACAGATTATGTCACCAGTATTCTTCTAAAATGCTGGAGAGATGCTAATTAATACGGCTGGGCAATGATTCTTCAACCAGACTATTTTCTATAGCAAGTTGGTGGGAAGCAATGGGGTGAATGGGAAAGTTTATGCAGTAAGAAACGACATGGCCTACTTTTGTGATGGTTAGGAATTTCAGCTGCACACAAAAAGAAGTTTGAAGGTCCTTTCTTTTTAGTTCTTGGTTTGTTTTTTTTTTAATTTATATTTTTTCCCCATAGGAAAAAACCCAACAGTAGCTGAATCAGAGGTACAACACAGGACAACTCATGTGACCTAGTAGACAAAAGCTTGCACTCAAAATATAGTACTGAAAAGGTGATCAGTGTTTGATGGGAAATGAAGGATCATGGCAGTTTAAATGGGAGATTCTTCTTGGAAAAGTAGAAATTTATCTGCTTTTAAAAAGAAATTTAAAAAAAAGAGAAATTCCAAGATTTGAAGTTTTACATTCAAAAGAAATGGAAAGTAAAAATATTTGTTTGGACTGGTTGTTGAGGAATACCTCAGTTGAATTGTCATGGTTGAATTGATTATGAAGAACAAAGAAAGGTAGTTGAACCTATCCAGTGGCTTGATCTTCTCATGACTGAAAAACAAACGTGCTGAAATGATGAAATTGGGAGGATACAGCAAAGTGCAATAAAACTGTATCTCAAAAAGATAGAACTCAGTGAATTTGGTTCTGGTTGTTTCTACCCAAGCAGTCTTATACTCCATCAAAATTCTGCTCCTAGCTGTTGTGTACCATCAAGTCGGAACCGACCCACAGCTGAGCCTTCAGTGGGCTTTCAGACGCAAACTACCTATCTTTCTTCTTCAGAGCAGCTACTGTATTTGAACCATGTACCTTTTGAATTGACAGGCCATTAGTCTGGGTCTTAACCACTTATCCACTTAAACAATTATTTGTCTCTCACTGTCTGGAACAAAGAAGAGAGAAGGAAAGCAAACAAGGATTGGATCAATTAGTCCAAAGAATAGACCATGGGAACCTCAACTTCCATGAGCCTGAGACCAGAAGAACCAGATAGTGCCTGACTACTACCAATGACAGCCCTAGAAGGGACCACAACAAAAGATCCTGGACAATAATCGGGGAGGGGGTGGAGAACAAAGTGAAAAATCATAAGAAAGACTGAACTTCCTGGTCTGATAGAGACTAGTGGAATCTTGAGTATAGCCCTACTTATCCTTTGAACCTAGAAACAAAACTCACTCCCATGGCTCCATGTTTAGTTAAACAGTAGACTGGTCTACAAGGTGACCAATAATACCAAGAAGATGTTCAATCTTTAGAATATTCAATCATACAGGGTTAAAAGAACAGCATTTTACTAAAGATAAATCCCTGAAGGCAGTAAGAGTTAGGATCAAATGATTAATGGAAGTGAAAATTAAAAGGGAGGAAGTAAGAAGAGTGTTGTTGTTTTGTATCATTGAGTCAGAACTAACCCATACTTGAACATCTGGCAGGTTTTCAGAGGCAGTTGAATTGCATGAGGCAGTTAATTGCATGGAAGGAGATTTCCCATCTTTCTCCTGGATTATATTGTAGGCATTGAAATGAATAGAAAACAAAATGTGTATGAATCTTTACATGAAAAGCCAATGTACTTTGTCACCTTTCACTTCACTCACACTCAAACAAACAGACAAACAATTAAAACAAAATGCTGCTGCTTGATTATAAACTAATTTTAAAAATATAAACAGTACATATGTTTGTGTCACACAAATTCTTTTATTGTGTCATTTTTCACATTAGTGAAGCAGCTCAACTGCCCACCAGCAAATAAATGCATAGAAAAGCTGTGGTACGTCTGCACAATCAATGGAATATTACTCAGCATGGAAAAACAACAAACTTGTAAAATTCTGCACATCATAGATGGGTCTGGAAGACATTATGTCATTATGTGGAGTGAAAGATCTCAGTCACCACAGGACAGATACTGTATAAGACTCTAGTTATAAAATAAGATGGACATGGGGTGGGACAAAACAGGAAAAGAGTGGATAAATAATGAACACTGCATTAGAACAGATGAAGGGAAGGACTATTTTAAAGGAATATATGATTAAGAGATTATGTATATATGACAATCTGGAATAAGAAGTGCATTGCAAAGTGAATTAGGGGAGGGAGGAAACCATGCACCAGTGAGTGAATGAAAACTGAACCTTTCTGTAAAATCACAATTTTAAAAAAGAAAATAATTTAAACAGTAACCAGTTGGCTTACTCTGATCTATCCATGGGGTTTCAGTGTCTGTGATCTTTTAGAAGTAGATCCCAGGATTTTCTTCCTGAATTCTTTTGGGTAGATTTGAACTTTTAATCTTTTGATTAGTAATTGAGCACATTTGTACTACCCAAGGACCCTGTTGTACAATTGTTGTTGTTTGTTGTGTACCATCGAGCCAAAAATGATCCATAGCTGACCCTCCAGCAGGTTTTCAGAGACAGTAAATTACATAGGAGATTGTTCATCCCTCTCCCACAGGGCAGCTGGTAGATTTGAACCATGTGACTTTGGGAACGCAGTACAGTTTCTTACTACAAGGACACCAGAACTCCCAATTTGTTGTCATTAAAGTGTTGACTTTTCCTCTTTCTGGTCAACTCATTCAATCCACAGTTATTGAATGACTGTGAACAAAATCACTTGCATAATTCTGCCTGCATGATGCTTGTCTTCTATTGGGATGAGATGACAAATAATAAATATTAGAGACAGGAAAATGATATGTTAGATGGTAAAAAGCATTATCTGGTGGCACTGCAATCCCAAAGGCACGTGGTTTGAATCCACCAGCTCCTCCGTGGGAGTAGGATGGGCAATCTCCTTCTGTGATTTTTTGCCTCTGAAAACTCGCTGGAGGGTCAATGATGAGTTAATTCCGACTTGACAGCACACTCAACAACAGAGTAGATGGGCAGGTTCAGATAGTAAATAAATGTGAATCTCATTGAGATGAGGACCATTGGAAAGAAACCTGAAGAATGTGGAGCAAGCCAAGGAATACCTAGGAAAATGGTGTTCTAGGTCGAAGGAATGACCAGAAAAATGATCCTGAATAGGGAGTAGTGCTAGAGTGTTCATGGAGCAGAGAGGAGCCAGGTTGGCCAGAATCCAGTGTGTGAAAAGCAGGAGAAGAGCCCTGACATCAAACCGGAAGGGAGAAGGGCAAACATGGAGGCTACCTTTAGGAGTAGGACTTTTAACCCTTCTGTGACTCATGGGACAGATTTTCTACCTCTAGTGTTTAATGTGAAACATTTATTCTACTATTAATGCATCTTGGCAGCCAGTATAACTGCATGAGTCCAAGGAAATGGCCTTATCCCATCAACTCCAGGACTAGAGATCCCTTGGGAATTTCATGTCCCACTGAGTATGAAGAAATATATATGGCCTTACATTTTTTTCCATTTCATTAAAAATGTTTTCCAATATTGAAAACATATGGTTTCACAAAAATTCAAAGCATAAAGTAGTTTGATCTTAAAGGGTTAAACCATAAACAAAGAAGGTAATCTGTATTTTCCCATTCTTTACTTCAGATTACAAACTCTCATTCAGTGCCAAGATACAATCATTTGTATTTCTTCCTTCCACCTTCCTGGGTTGGAGTGATGGATGGTCTTTTGAAGTCCTAAGAAAGAATACACTTATCCACCAGCTGATGTCTTCTACATTATCATAGACCTGTAGGCTATCAGCATTCAGTCTTGGGTAAGGACTTGGGCAGCTTTTTCTGAGTATTTTTGAGAGTTTAATAGCGCATTTATGAAGGGAACAAATACACAATTCCCAAGTGTTTCATGTACACACAAGAAGATGTTATACATGGCTTACCAACATACTGCTTCCAAAATTCATTCTATAGAGAAAAACAAAATGATCACAAATTAATGTTGTTGTTAGAGTTGCTTGCAACTCATAGCAACATTATATACAATGGCTCTGAACTATGCTCTATCCTGAGCCAATCTTATTGACTCTGACACACCTACCCACCTACCCCCATTACCCCACTCACTGAATCAATCCATATCATTGAGGGTCTTCCTATCTTGAGCTGTCCCTCCACTCTCCCAAGCATGATGTCCCTCTCCAAGGACTGGTCCTTCCTTGCAACATACACAAAGTATGTCAGATAAAGCTTCAGATTCCTTGCCTCCAAGGAGTAGCCTGGGTTCAGGATGAACCTATTTGTTCTCCTAGCAGCCCACTGGATATTTAATACTCTTCTCCAGCACCATAGCTCCAAGGCATCATCAATTCTCCTTCTATCATCCCTAATCATTGCCCAGCTTTCTGATGCATAGCAAGTAATTGCAAAGACCATGGCATGCATCAGGCACACCTTAGTCTCCAGACTGAAATCGTTGCTCTTCAGTACTCTTGAGAGGTCCCTGACAGCGGACTTTCCCAGTGCAATTAGTCTTTTGATTTCCTGGCTGCTGGTACCAAGAGTGTTGATTGTGGAGCCAAATAAACTGAAGCTGTTCACAATCTCAATCAGTTGTATTTAAAGTGTTCAAAGAGGATCTATTCCTTCTCAATTACAATTCTATATATTATAAATTATATGTATAATTTCAGAAAATAATTTACCCCCCAAATTCTTTTAAAGATTTCCTGTTTATTTGCTCTTCATCTGAGAAGTGCTACATGTAAATACTCACAGTTTTCTCTGTGTTTTCGAAAACTTCTCGTGCTTCTTCATAATTGCACTTTTCTTCATTACATTCCCTCTCAAGGTTCCCTTGAACAAACTCTTCCAATTTACCTGAGTTATATCTCCTTGGCCGGTTCAGAATTTTGGTGGCATTTTCACGATCAAGAAAAACTGAAATTAAAAGAGCCATTCTTTAGTTTAAGGGGGGGGGGGAAGAAAACATTGTGACAATTAAATACATCTCTTATTAAACACTTTGTTTTTAATCCAATAAATTTCAAAGCCAATTTCTCTGTGAATCGTAGAGCCAAAATTGCGGAGAAATCAATTTCAATTTTAGTCAGGATAGCTTTAATAATAAGAGGTCAGATTTTCAATTGTATTTGAATTTACTATGTCTCGCAAAGAAAGTTCTCAAATAAGCAGTTAACTTGACATATCGTCATCACTCCAGAAGAGCTAATTGCAGGACCTTGCAAGGTGCACCATCACCTGATCCAGACTAGTGGCAGAAAGCAGTTGCCCAAAGGACCTGGTACATGCTTCTCCTGGAACAACAAAGGTCTGATGGGTCCCGCAGCAAATCTGACCCTTGTATCTCCCACTAGATATTAAAGAAAAAACACTGTCCTGATTTTCTCTCTTCAGACTGACAACACCTTCAGTTGCCATGTGCTGCAGTTATTCTAATGGCTTAAAAAAACCCTGGGGATTAAAAGTGTGACTTATTTTAGTGTTCTGGTGGCACAGTTGGTAGAAGGTTGAGCTGTTAACAAAAAGCAGCATATACTCAGCAGCTCCCAGGGAGAATGTGATTCCTTGCATGTGATTTACAGCCTGTTAGATGGTCAGCTAAGAGTTTATTCCAATCCCATAACAATAGATATGTGATTTACAAAATTGTGTGTGTGTATTTTAATTAGAATCAGGAATTAAGAAGCCACTCAGCCTCACCTCTTTCTTCAAAAGACTAGCAAGGTAACCATTTGAAAATGAAGGTAAGAATAGTCTTACAACTGTTGTTGGTGCTGTTGTTAGGTGACATTGAGTCTAGTACAACTCAGATCTGAACGCTGTACTCTCCTATTCCCTCCTCATCATCTCTGACATACTCAAGCCCATTGCTGCAGTTACTGGGTCAATTCATCTCATGGATAATCTTCCTTTCTCTGAACCACCACCCTCCCAAGCCTGATGTGCCCTTTCCAAGGAATAGCCCTCCCAGCAACATGCCCAAAGTATGTGAGATGAATCTTCACCATCCTTGCTTCCAAGAAGCACTCTTGCTGCACTGTTTTGGGTTTTGTTTTTTTTTTTGTGCAAAAGATGCTTTTATTTTTTGATGATAGTTTCCAATCTCCTAAAAACTATCATGAACATTTGAGACATTAAGTAGGTAATTGTAACCATCTTTTAAGAATATCACAAAACTCATCGGATAAACAGAACAATGATTTATTCTTGTTGAATATACCTGACAGTTATATATACACCAAATAGTTGACAGGTTCAAAGTGGATGTATCCATCCCATTAGCAAAGAAACATGGGAAAACATTTAATTCATAGTAATATGTGGAGGCAGAAATTACTCCAAGAAACTAAACAATTAGAAATAAAGTAGAAATTCTGAATCTTTATGCTAAAATAGGTGGTTCAAAGTGTTAGTCAAAACTCCATTCTTTAAAAATAATAATTTTCAGTTACATGAAGACAATATTATTTTTCTTATTTTATAATTGAGAATTATTTGAACAGAGATAAAATTATTGGTTATTCTTTTCTCTTCCTATTATTCATGTGACATATTTCAAGAAACATGATGAGGCTTAGTTAATTGTAATAATTCACTTGAACATTGAATTATTCTAGATACATATTTATTTTAACAAGTGCAAAATATTATAAGACAAACTTATCTACCATTCATGACAATGATGCTCTTTTATCATGCTTATTGTCAAATGTACTTGAAGAAAATTCAGTTAAAAATCATGATGCTTTCTTGAAGACATATCTGTTCTTTTGGAAGTCTATGGAATAGTCAATATTTTTCTTTTTTAAAAAAAGTAATTTTAAATAAAGTTTACAGAGACTTAGGGTTTCCAGTCAATCATTGTTGCACTTTTCTCCCTATCCACCTCCTCTCCCCCAATTCACTCTTCTCCTTGAAAAGCAAAACTCTTTCATTGTTATGTAATCCCTCTCCCTCAAGTCCACTCCACTATGCAGCCTTGAATACCCATTCATATAGCCCTTTTAAACAGTTCTCTCCCTCATATGTTTCAATGCAATATACAATACAATATACAAGGCAATATATAATACAATATACAATATCCCCTCCTTTTCTGTCTTCCCTTAACCCTGATGTCAGTTCTGTTTTACAACAGTGGCCCTATGCAATATTTGTCCTTTTGTGACTGAGATATTTCACTCAGCATAATGTCCTCCAGGATCATCCATTTTGCAGAATATTTCATGAGTTCCTTGTTTTTCAGTGCTGCATAGTATTCCATTGTGTGAATATAACACTGCAACTCAAATGCATCAATTCTTTTTCTGTCATCCTATGAATTGTCCAGCTCTCACATGTATAGCAAGTTATTGAAAATAAGATGATCTGAATCAAGTGTACCCTAGTCTTCAAACGGAAATAATTTCTCCTCAGTAATTTGGAGAGGTTCCTGACTGCAGATTTTCCTAGTTCCGATAAACCTCCTGACCTCCTGATTGCTGATATCAGGGGTGTTCATCCAAGTAAGAGGAAGTCATTGATAGTTTCAATCTTTTCTCCATCTACCATGATGTCCTCTATAGGTTCAGTGTTGAGCATTTTTGTGCATTATGTAGTTACCTTCCTTGTCCTTTGTGGTGGTTTTGGCATTGAAATTTATTTTATCGAGATTACTATCATTTCTCCTGCTTTTTTGTGGTTGCCATTTGCTTGGTATATTTTTTCCACACTTCTTTTTAGTCTTTATATTCACTTTTCAGCTGTGTCTCTTGTAGGCAGCATAATGATGGATTTTGTGGGTTTGTTTTAATCTAATCTGCTATTCTTTTTCTCTTCTGTGGTGCATTTAAACCACTTATATTTAGGGTGATTATTTAAAGGCAAGGTTTCATTGCTATCATTTTATTGAGTTCTTTTTGGTGTTCTTGGTAGTTAGTTACTTTGGTCCATCCTGCTTCTGTGGCACCTCTGTAAGGAGGACATCTCTCAGTGTTTCCTGCAGGTCTTGTTTTTACAAACTCCTTTAGGTTCTCTTTTTCTGGGAATATCTTGATCTCTCCTTCATATTTGATGGACAATTTTTCTGGGTACAATATTCTTGGTTGACAGTTGTGTTCTTTGCATGTTAAAGATATGTCATTCCACTTTCTTCTTGATCTCATGGTTTCTGCTGAGAAATAGGCACTTAATTTTATCTTCTCTCCCTTATAGGTTACTCTTTTTTCTCTCTCTCACTGCTTTCAGAATTTTCTCCTTATCTTTGGTTCTGGAAAATTTGACTATGATATGTCTTGGTGTTTTTCTTTTGGGGTCTATTCTGTATGGTGTTCTTTCAGCTTCTTGAATATATATTCTCTCATTCTTCATTATGTCTGGGAAGTTTTCTTCTAGTAGTTCTTCCACAACTTTTTTGGTGCCTTTACTTGCTTCTTCCTGTTCTGGGATTCCAATGATGCACATGCTATTTCTCTTGTGTCCCACATTATTCTTAGATTTTATTCTTTTTCCTTTCTTTTTGCTTCTGCTTTTTGCTCTGGCTGATCAGTGGTGATGATTCTATCTTCTATTTCACTGTTTCTGTGTTCCATCTCTACAACTCTGTTCACATGTTCCTTGATCATGTTGACAGCATCTGAAACATTTGTCCTCATATTTGGATTGTGGTTTCTTATTTTTCCAGAGCCCCTAATGCATCGTTTGTTTTATATATATTGTTTTGGATTATTTTTTAAAGCTCCTCCTGCTGTTTGCTTGCAGTGTCCTGTAATTCTTCAAGTGTGTCTTTCACCCATTGAAAATATTCAATCACTGTTCTTTTCAATTCTGTGTTGGAAAGTTTCATTAGACTTTATAGCTTCTGGTAATCTATTGATACTGTGTGTCAATTGGGGGGTGTCATCTTGTTTTGTGCTTGTGTAGGGTGTTAGGTAGCCTGTTGCCTACATAACATTGCTGTGGTATTGATGTCTGAAGTGATAGCAAGTTCTTAATCTGAAGTCACCACTCCAGAAGAGAGTGAGTGGGACAGTTACCCTACCTGGGTTTCTCTCTTCCTTCTGACCCAAGGGAAGATCTTCAGTTTGGTAGAGAAAAGGCCTGTGAAAGCAGCCTCCTTTGTTAGACAACTGCTGCTACTAGGCTATCCCTAGGTGCTCCAGGCTAAATAAAGGCTGTTGATTGAGTGGACATGAAAAGACACAAGGCAGAGTGCGGAGACCTGATTGGGAAACCTGGAAGCCTTGGTTTTCCCTTCAAGAACAAACTACAGCTGTCTCGCTCTCTTCTGATTGAGCTTAAGAGGCCCCATGTAATCCAAACAAACAACATTGCCCCCCCCCCAAAGTATCTCACTCAAGTTCCAGCATTGCTCCGGCTTGCATTCTTCCTGGCATGCATCACTCCCATGAGTCACATCACGTCATGTGCGGCACCAGCATAAGGAGAGGAGTTCCTTAGAAGGTGTGACCCTCCATCTTCTTTTGATACTTCCTGGATGATTTTATATTTTTCCCATAGCATTGCTCAGTATTGCAACCCAATGCTTGAATTTGTTTTGCAGTTCTTTCAACTTGGCAAGTACTGCTTTTTCCAGTTCCATTTCTACACATTTTGTTTTTTTTTGCTTTGTCTTTTTCAGCTGTCTTTCTAATCTTCTGTTCAGATTTTTTACTCCAGCATCTCTTCCCTTTATTTTGGCTTCTCAGGGCTCTCGTCTGATTTTCAGAGTCTCTTCTGACATCTATTTTGGGGTATTTACCCCCTCTGTCTTTGGAATGACATTTTCCTTTCTTCATAGATAATAGCCTTGATTTCATCACACAACTCATCCAGTTGGTGCTTAATGCCTCAAACCTATTCTTAAGATAGTTTTTAAATGCAAGTGTGATAGACTCAAGACTGTCCTTGATTTCGTGCCACCTGAATTTAAAAATCAC